TGTCGGATAGGCCTTGCTGTGTGGGTGTGGAGGAGCTTGGCCAGGGCGCCTTGCCGGGCAGCGGGGCTCCGCAGCCCCCGGGTGTGCCCCGCGGCAGCCCTGCCTCAGCCTCGCGGTGAAAGGGGCCTGTCCCTTCCGAATAAGTCTCTTCCCTGTTACTCCCGCCCAAGCCCGCAGTCGTGAACAAAGTCTGTGAGGAAACTTGGAATTGCTCAGTCTGAGGGAGATCCCTGTGCTTGTAAACCTCGCTGTGACTTTGAGTTGCGCAGGTCCACCTTTCTTGTGCTGAGAAAGCTGTGTGTGTGGAAGGGAGAGGCACACCTACTGAGAAAACTCGCTGTAAACTCTTAAAAACTGCCATAAGGTGTATAAGTATTTGCATTTTAAAAACTATTCATGATGTTCGTATGTTAAACTGATGGCCTTCCTTCGCTGTCAGAGAGAAAGTCATGGTTACAAAAGCTGACAGTACAGTAGGTCTTGCAGCGTACACGGGTAGGGTTTGCCTTCTCTACACCTTTTTCTAAATACAGATTCTTATTTCTAAATTATTTCCGAATGCCCTGCAGTACTGGGAAAATGTTTGGGCCCTCAGTTTTATTCCTCAAATATATATGTCAATTTAATGAGCTTTTATTACATCTTAATTATAGTCAAGTGAATTAAGTGGGCAAAAGCACAGTTTTCTAAGATACCTCAGTGTTTGAAGACTCTTCGTGCTAGGCGTATCCTGATGTCTGAAGTGATGCTGAAATACAATCTTACTTTGTTTTCAAAAACTCAGCTTCCTTCAACCAGCTGCATAATGTTTCAGTTTTTGTAAGCTCAGGAGGTTGTCTTAAAGCATACAAACAAGTGCAAATCTTAACAACTGCTTGTTTGTTGACATAGGTTTTAGATATTTACTTTTAGAAAAATGAGCAATTTATGAGGAGTACAAGATGTAATATGAGAATAAGGGGACAGCCCACTTAAAGCAGTATCACTAATGATAAAGACCATCAAAATCCCACTTGGGATCTCAGTAAAGGTTAATCTTGTTCTGTTACCTAATATCTGATAATTTAGAAGCGTCTTTAACTTCTGGTTAATGTCTGATTCTTCAGAAGAATAAGAACTGTTGCAGGAGGGTTTTTGCACTCTAATCAGTAGCTGACTAGATCTTATTTCAATCTTGAAGCCAAGGGTTTAAATTTATTTCAGAATTGTTATCACTGTTCTGCAAATTCTTGATAAACCTATAAATACTTAGTCTCGTGCACTTCTGCATTTGTGGCAATGGTTCTGTAGTTCAAAACTGGATAAAAGTATTCACTTTCTCAGAGTTGACTTCCACAGGAACTGTCACATCTTTTTTTTAAATGAGAACAGGAGTTTTCCATTTTATTTTGCTTCACCACTAATTATCTCATACCGATTTCTTGGTATGTCTCTGATTAATTTTTCTTTTTGAACTAATAACCAACTTGCCCAGTCCTCTATCACAGGAAAGATTATTCTGCTTGCTTTTCACTATTCTAGAGCAGTCCATGCAGTGATTTGTTTTAAAATTTTAGTATTCTTTGTACTGTTTACTATCTTATTACATATACATTTACATTTTTCTGTAGGGTCATTGTCTTTTTGTTTTCTTCTTGGGCCTTTAGCTACTTTTAATAAGGAGCGGCGCAAGCACTTTACAAATAAAACTATCTTCTGAAAACCTTACTGTGTTCATCAGATGTCCATGACATAAATGCTGCTAGACACTAAAATTAATTTTAGAAGCAGTTTAAGTGAAAATGATTAATTGCATTTATTTTGACACAGGTATGAAAACTCAATGGGGTCGTCCAAAAATGTAATAAGTGAGGCTGTTGATGTGGAGGAAGGCTATAACATGATGGTAAGACGTTCAGCTACTATAACTGTGGTAGGATTTTTCCTACTGCAAGAAAAACTAAATTTTCATGTTGGGATTCATTGATAAATCGGTTCATTTGTACCTTCTCTGAAAGTATTGATTCTAGAAACTGAATCAATTTGATTTATTAACGTCGTGATGAAAAACTTTCAAAAATTAATTTTACTGTAGAAGAAATCTGAGTATTTCGTCTGGTTTTGCATCATTTCTAGTTGTGTTAGTATATAGTTTTTTTGGACTTTAAGACATTTTTTTCCAGCTGATTCCCTTTTTAAACTGCTTTCATCCCACCTGTGCTCTAGTGTAAGACCGTAATGTTTGGTTACTAATAGAGTGGTGTTCTTTGAAGTAGCTGAGGTTAGAGCTGAAGTAATTTTCTTTGAGAATGCAATGGATGAAACTGGTGGTTTTGTTTACAGTAATATATTTATGTATACGAACACCATTAAAACAAAAATCCTCATAAAAGGTCTTTTAATATTTATAGCCATGCAAAGAAGCAGTACAGACTAAATCACAAAAATCTGCTATTTAAGGCTAAACAAGTTTGTAGTCACCTTTTTGCCTAACAGATGATTGTATCCACAGCACTTTGAAAAACGTAACTTCTTTGGATAGTTAAGTAGCAAATAGGAGGGATTCAGGTTGAGGAAGCAGTCAAAAACCTGTGTATCGGTATCACTTCACTCATACGAAGGAGGGTATTAAAACTTGCTCTTGATACCCTCTATGGCCTTTGGCACAACAGTTTACACTTCTCTGTGGCTGTATACTTCATTATTGCTAATTGTCCCATTAAGATCTCCTTTAAGGGTTGGTTGTTTTCTTTTGACTGATGTCTAAGTTATGGAGACTAGAATTTTAAGTCAGGCTCTAGTTTTCATGATACAAAGGACTTGGAAATGTCATGTTGAGATACTTCTGCTTTCCTTATGAGCCTTTCTGGCTTGTAAAAAAATAAATAATTTAAAAAGTCAGTTTGGTGTGGAATAATGCAGAGTTTTACACTTACATGGGAGTAATGATGTCCAGAAATAAGGTTGGAAAACAACTGTCTTGGCGGGAATTGTGCAGAAAGGGACCTTGGGATTATAGAAGGTTGTACGTGCAACAAGAGAAACCCTGCTTTTATATTAGGAAGAGTTGGGTCTGCTCTGGCCAGGGGACGGGGATTGGACTAGACCTGCAGAGGTCCCTTCCAGGCTTTGTTATTCTGTGACTGTGTAAGTCGTGCTAATTTATGTGTGGTATGTCATGACATATGTGTTGTGATTATATCATAAGTTATGAAAAGGTAATATCATATTGCAAAAAAACTCCTAGGCATAATTTTGAGATGATTAAATGGGATTATCATTTGTAAGATATGAATAACCTGTCCACCGTGTTTAGCATTGAGAAAGTCTTCACTGAGGTATTTGTATCTGCTTTTGGACGTTGTGTTTCAAAGACAGATGTAAATCGGTTGGAGACAATCTGGAAGAGAAAACCGTAAGTGCTCAGATTCAGAAAACTTGAAACCTGAGATCTGGAAAACATGAGAAAAAACATTAAAGGGTTGGTAAAAAAAAAAAAAAAAAGAATAGGGATGGTGAGCCCGGAAGATAGGAAGGCCAATGAAGGATGAAATGGAACATAACAGCATAAAAAATAATAGGAAGGAAAAAAATTCAAACGGTTTCCAAGTCCTCTGTGTGTGGCAAGAAAGAGTGGGCTTATGCTGTAGGAAAGCTATAGTTAAATATTACGTAGGTTGTGCCAAGTGAACACTGTCTGCTGGTGGAGGATTTGAAAGAAAAGATGCAATAAATGAGGAAAGATTTATTTGTTTACTTATTTCATTTTTGGCAGTTGGGGATGCCATAAATTAGCTTTACTTCCAGCTAAGGTGAGTGTTTGGGTCTTTTTTGAAGATTTGAGAATAAATTAATGCGAAATGCAGCCTGAACATTCTTCTTTTGGTTTAAGACAGACACATTTCAGAGATGATTAAGTTAAAATTATTTGACTCTGTTCTGAAGTAAGCTACCAAAAGTATTTACGTTGGGAGTTTACACAGTAGTTCAAAGTGATTTTAAAACAGTTATATGACACTTGTGGATCTTTAACTCTTAGATCGATGATGGAAAGTGTATCGTTAAGCAACAGGGCATTAAAAACCCAAACCAAACTTGATACAGCAGAAATGGTCACTTGTACTAAAAATTCCTAGCGAGAATAGGCAATTAATTATGTAGAATAAAGATAGACTAGAACCAGTCTAATACAGATCCTGGTTTTTTACGTGCTTTGCTTGGGTTTCTTTGGGCCAAAATATATAATTTGCTCTATTTATTTCATTAGGTTTTCCAAAAGTTCACTTATATAGCAGTGCTCTTTTTTTCTTTGCTTTTATTGTATGACATGGTGATATTTCTAGGTAGGTCTGTGGAGCACTAGATGGCACACTGCGGCTTTGAAACAAGCAATTGAGGACATCTGGATGAGAGAAACCTAAGTTAAATACTGTTACATAAGCATTGAAGTAAAAGCAGTTTCTCATTTGTGTTGCATTTCCTAGCACCTTTATAAATTATAGCCACTCATCTGCTATATTCATTTTTACTGTATTTTCTTTCTGAAGATATACTAGTACTATAAAACAATGTGGGTGCAGGCTTGAGTCATATGATGGTAAGAACAAAAAGAGGAAAAATGCATGTTCTGATTAGCACTATAGAAAATCAGTCTGTTCATGCCTAAAATAATATTTAGATTTATGTAACTGCTTTGTGGTTAGAGATAACTTGGTCAGCAGTTTTGTGCTATCACAGTACATAAATTTATCATTCCAGAATATAGTTTGGCTTTGTTTCAAATTATTTTCCGAGGAATAACTTGATACACTGTAGAAGAGGCAAGATTTTATCTAATTGACATCTGTCAGTTGACACAAATATTTCTTAATCTATTTGGTTTCAAATGTCTTGCAATGGTGTGTTTTGCAAGTGCAAAGAAATATGTTTATTAGGTAAACAAAGCTCATCCTCAGTGTCTCTCATTCTGTCTTTGAACAGTTGCAGCTTTCTAGTGATAACAGCTAACTTTAGTTGCCAGGAAATACTTTCTAGGTTCTCGTCTTCTCAGTGAAAGAGAGGTGGGTTTTTTCATACGTTTCAGATGGTTCCAGTAAATCTCGTGCCTTTCTCCAGGCTCTCTCCAGTCAGCTAACACATATATTTTGGCCTTATGCAGCTTTTATCTTGAATAATTAGTTCTAATTAACACAAGGTAACTAAAACGTTTGTGAAGTTTACTGTGATGCTCTAGCAGTATTGGCAATCAATTAAATGGAGGTTAAAAATGTGTGGTGTAGACATACCCATACTGAGGGCTGGGTCGTAACTCTCATGTCATGTTGATGAGTCAATCTGCTTATCATGCAGAAAAGTGGTTGTGAAAATGAATATGTACACCTGTTTTGGATATTTGAGGAAAATTCAGTACCCGCACACCCCACTTTGGATGGTTTAACCACATACTGGATGAAATTAACATATCAAACCAAAAATTTATATATTTTTTTTCCATCCCTGTATTTCTTGTTTTCAGGCTTCTTTCCAACGCTCTAATAGCCATGACAAAGTGAGGAAAATAGTTGCAGAAGAGGGACGTACAGCAAGGAACCTAATTGCATGGAGCGTTCCACTGGAAAACAAAGAAGATGATGGTATGTATTCAACAGTCTTCCACCAGTTTTTTCCACTTCCATCCCTTTGTACACTGGAGTTGCTCACCTGGAAACATGTTTCTTACATAGGATTTCTCTATTAAAAAAAAAACGGTTATGTTTAGCGTACATAGTATAATTTTAAAGCATTTTTACAAAATGCACTCTGCAGTGCATTTATAAATCACTTTATAAAACCTTCACAGTAACAGATTAAAAACTGTTTTAATTTGGTCTTTAAGCAACATCTAAGACTGTTCTCTCTATCTAGTATAATAATGTTGTCTTAAAATATTGGACTTTGAAAAGGCTGTTAAAAACTGATCTCTTGTAACTTGGGAATTCGGAATTGTAGGGATGGCTTAGAACAATCCAACAAATTGCTCTCTACGCTCAAACAAATAAGTTTGGAAGTTTCTTTTAGTATCATTTCAGTCTGTGGTAAACATCTGTGAAGAATCTTTAAGGGAGGGGATATGTGGGGACAGTTTTCCATAATGCAAGTCCTCAGAACAGTTTTGTTACTGTTGTAATATTCTCTTGCAGTATGATGACTTAAGGAGCCAGGAATTGACTTTAATTTTTATACTGCTCAAGCTGTTCCAGATGTCAGAATGCTGTTTTTGAGGACTTCATCTCAAGTATTTTTGTAGCTCACATGTCCCTGTGGAGGTGCTGCTGCTTTTGAGACTTAGGGAGGAGTATCTAAAAGTAAATTTTGTTGTTTTGCTGTGAGGGTGGTTGAATGCTGGAACACATTGCCTAGAGAAACTGTGGGCAATCTTCATCCTTGGACATGCTCAAAACCTGACTGGACATAGTCAGGGCAGCCTGCTCTAGCTGACCCGGCTTTAGGCTGGGAGGTTGGACTGGATGATCTCTAGAGGTTCTTTCCAACTCAGCTGTTCTGTGATTCTGCCAGTGGAAAAGCTATTTCTATGAACAGTTATGTCTAAGTTATAAGATAATTAACCCTATGTCTGAAGCAAACTGAAGCAAAATCTAAGCTGTATTTGGCTTGCTTTTTGCATTAAGGTGTATTTGTGATTTTTTTTATATTTTTAAAGTTGAAAAGTCTAAAGTGACAAAAGACAATGAGGTGCATGAAAACCTATTTAGATGTTTGTATGTGGACATCTATATAGGATTCATTGAGGAAATTACATTCAGTTCAGGATGCATAGCTGTACCTCTGTTGAACAATGACAAGCAGAATGACAGATAACTTATGTTTATCAGCTAAACATCCTAAACCTAATTACAAATGTCCACATTTACAGGCTTTGGTTTCCAGTTCTGACCCTTTTACTTCAGCATTGTCCCAGCTATCTTAGTACATTTTGTATAGCAGCAGCAGAAAAACACGTACTGTGAATTTTTGTCAGCTGTATGTAAGAAGAGAAAATGGAAATAATTTAAGACTTGAGTATAATCTGACCAATTAGAATGCATACCTCCCAGTTTTGGATCACATGCAGCAACTGCTCAGTTTATTATCATGAATATGTGGATTTTTAAGTGGGCCAGTTCTGTGTTCTGGGAGCTTTGTTTACATCTGTCTCCAGTAGGTGCATTTATCTATTTGCTGGTCTTACAGTTGCCTGCGTGTTCTTGAGTATGTTAGTAGATCCATTAATATTATTGGACTAGTCACATATGTCATTTAAGCAGAATTAGAACTGGGACCTACGTTATTTATAGATTCGGAATTACATTTTTGGGGAAGGTAGTAATATGAATGAGTTTATGCAAAAGGAACATAGAGTATATTTCTAACAGTATTTTTAAACTACTTGTGAGTTGATTCAATTTCTGTTTAGTCTGTTATTTTTCCATACTACCTTGCTTATAATATTATTTTAGAAACTTTCAAGTGAGACTTTTTCCTTAAAAATGAGTGAATGTGAGTTGTAGATGAATGTTTGCTCCAAGTCTAACATTTTCTGCCAAAACATGAAGAATGAATGTAAAAGTTAATTTTTAGCCATTAATAAATAGTTGTTACGTATGATAATTCAAATCCAAGTAGCTGTATTCATTTCCTTCTTTAGGTTGTATTAGCACCATTGTAATTTTTAAACTTTTTGTCACTGGTGCTTTCTTCTTTTTAAAATTTCTTCATTAAATTGTAGGCTGACCTTTTTGCACAATACAAAGAATTTGATGATAATTGCCTGATGGAAAATTTCCCTGTGGAAAGGAACTAATGAAAGTGTGGCAAAGCCAGATCCTTTATCTCCTGACCCTTCTCTTGTCATAGAGGGTATATATGTTGGTGTCAGTGAGCTCTGATTCATTTTATGCTAATCTTTCAATATATATTTTGTCCCTGAGGAATGATACAGCAATATTATGAATTAGGACAGTTCTAGCTCATTCAGGGATTGTGTAAATCAGGCCAAGGGTTCAGGTTGCCTGAGCCAGTGCTGCAGCTCTTCTGCGCAAAGCAGAATTCTGTCTTTGGGCGGTTTCTTCTGCTCGTAATGTTCAGAGGTATTGCTTTGGCAGTAACTGTGTGATTTAACATTTTGTTTTATACACTGTTATTCATTATGAGATTTTTTTTTTCTGCAGAAATAGTGAGGGTATGGGCACTTGCTATTACTAGTCGTAGTGTTATAGAGGGTTGATGAATTAAAATGCTGAATTCATTTTTTCAGTTTGTATCCTTTCTTTTTCTGTTTTCTTTAAAAATTGTGTGCTTGTGTCCTTCTTACCGTTTAAATTTTCCTCTGAAAGACTTCTGTGTTTTATATAGAGGACATGGGTAAAAGAGCAATAATGAAAAGAATTCCGATCAAAACCTTCTAAATCCTTAATGGAAATAAATAGTTGCAGTCAATAAGAAATCTTTCTTCAAGAAGGAGAGAGATTTCTGGAATGGCAGGTGGCACTTCTGTTACATGTTTTGGAGCAGCATGCACCCTTGTTATGTCAGATATGAAATTCTAGTTATGAATACAATTCAATGACATGAAAAAATTCAAAACATGATGGCAATGGTCTAGAAGAGATAGTGACTGTTAACACATTTCAACTATTGAAATTAAAATACTCCTTCACAGAATTCATTAAAATGCAGCAGATTCTGTTGGATAGACTAATTAACAGTACAGTTGACTTTGTGTCCGAGGAGGAGAGTCTTATAACTGTGAAAAATTCACTAGTCTGATACTCTGTCTCCAGAATTAAATTTGCATTCCAAACCTGTGGCCACTGATCGCCTCTTGCAGTCACTTAGATCTTGCCCACCAATGATCTTGGAAAGCTGTGATCATTCTGATAGAGGATTTCAGAATTTTTTCCTTTGTAATTATTTTGTATGCCTAGCGTGAAATTTGAGGCACTGCATGCGGATAAGCACTACACACAAATTTTGTTACAAAATCTAAGCTATGATATTAGTAACAGTTAAAACATCCCAGAGGCTTGACATTTAAATGTTAATAGCAGCCAAGGTACCTTTGGAACTTGAAGAGATGTGTCAAAAAATTGGAAAATCTTGTACTTGTAACTGTTCCCTTCTTATTTCCTATTTGTTTAAAATCGCTTGGGCTCTCGCCATATAAAATTCATTTGTAGATTAAACATTTCAGGATAAGGAAACATATTTTATTGGTTGAAAGATACTTGGCACACTTTGGGGAGCCTGCAGTATAATCTACTCCTCTAGCAAGAGCCTGATGGAGTAAATAGGTTTTGCAGTATGTGATGAAAGTCACGAAACTTGGCTCTTTTTGGCCAAGTAAGGAAGTTGTAAGAATCGTGACTGAAAACATTGTGCACAAGCCCTAGCAACATTGGATCTGATTGTAACTGGCAGAATATAACATGAAGGGAAGGGTATTCTGTAAGGCTCATAAGTTTCAAACCTTGAATTTCACTGAAATGAATGGGAATCCAGTCTAGTGCTGATAGGTGAATACAGGGCCATTATATTCTGGATGAGACAGTGACAGTGATTTGTGAAAGTAATTTTGTGCAAAATATATTGCTGTAATTCAATCTGGAGGTGGAAAAAACATGGAGAATTTTGGTTATACCCATGCTTGAAGGCAGTCATTTCTCCAGATCCTTAGAGTTGTATGGTTAGAAAAATCGTATCTACTACTGCTCTACAAACTAGAAAGACATGGTTTATAATAATACTAGAAACTTCAATATGCTTCTTCAATTAAGGGGTCAAAAATAATCTGTCTCATCTGGTTGCTTCCTCCAGGCAGGTACCTCCACCTTACTTTAAATGAGGTTCAGGCAACCAGGTCTTACCCAAGGCTCATTTTTGCAAAAATGTTTCTTAAGATGGACAACTGCACCAGCTGGGCTAGTGAGATAGATTCTGGAGTACAGACTGGTTATATGTAGCGATGGCACTATAGTGTAGACCGACTGTCTTAACAGGTTTTATAGATAAATGGAAGAAGAGAGGTGACAGAGTAGATTTCTCACACTGTGTATAAGAACTGGAGGAAAACAACAGAATGCTTACCCAGTTGTATCCTCAGATTCATTCAAGGAGATGAAAAGAAATATAATTGAAAATTGTTATTGTTCCCGCTGAAGGTCTGATGATGAACGGTGTCAAAGGCACTGAAACAAGGTATGCAGTTGATCTCTGCCGTAGTGAGAACAGAAATGAGGGCTGCTATTAATTACTAAATTTAAAGGCGATTCCCACATTTCTCATATCAGTAAAGCTATACAAAAGAGAGAGATGAGAGGGATGATTGTTGAGATTGTTAGTATAAAAGATAGATTTTGAAAATAGTTTATCAATGGGGGTTTTTTTTTTTTGGAGATATTAGCACCTTAGCTTTTTGTGACAGGAAGTCTTCTTTAATTACCAGACAAAGAGGAAATGGACTTCAAGTGTAAAATATGACTGTAGCTCCCTGAATGCTTCAAAACTTTGCTACTTTATATATTTCACATTGGCAACTTAATAGCGAATGAGATTATAATCTTTGGTCACTGTTGTTCTTTCCTTAAAGTTCAGTAACGTCCTAGCAGATAATGCCCTTCATATGTCGTTGAGTTCCTATGCATCTCATAGCAATGCTAGTATTGTACAGTTGCATACCAGCGGTCACTGAACATACACATAACCATTGAGCAGTGCTCTTGTGTTGTCGCTACTTGTGAGTATAAAAGGACAAAAGCAGAAAGGAGGACATCTTCTAATAACCAGAGGCATTTATTAGAAGAAAAAAAACTAATAAAGCTCGGAAATGTGGCTGCTGCTGAAAGGCAAAACTTTTTCGCCCATACACCTTAAGAAAAAATTAGTCCCTGCCACGTGTTATTTGCTTTTAAGTTTGCAAAACCTGATATTTACATAAGTTTTGTTTTCTCCAAGTGTCTGCCTTATATAGAAAGTGCCTGAAAACTTGCTTTTGTCTTTACAGGGGACTTGTTCAGACATTTCCCAGTTCTTAGATGATGGATTCGTATTCTGTTTTTTGTAGAATCTAAAGAGACTGCAACTTTTTTGTGTGTTCATCTGCCCTTTTTTAGTTTTAGCATTCCCATATTTGTTTGTAAGCCTTTTCACTATGCAAGTTCTGTATGCCATTGCATTCAAAATCTTGTCTTTGCAGAATGTAAATCATCTCAAAAAAGAGACTTTGGTGATTGAAATATTTCAGTTGTCATAATTCTGACATGGAACTGATCAGCTGTTCAAGCTTTTTAGTGAATAGGAAGTTTTTATGCATATGGTAGCTGAATCAAATTTTTTCCTGAATGCTGCTAAATTGAGTTAAATATATTAATTTGTACCTGTTGTTTTGGCTAACGTAGCATTTTAAGAATGAATTGTCAAGCAAATAATTTTTAATTTGTTTTAAAATTAAAGGCCTTGTTCCCTGGACTAGCCAATGATGCAAACCAGCTGTACAACTGCTTGATTAAGACAGGTTTACAGCTGCTTTACATAACCAGAGCAATGTAAAACAGCTGGACTGTGTTAGGGAATTTGGCCTAAGAACTGTTAAAAACTCAACTGGACAATTTTGAAATTCAAGAATGACCTCCATGGTCTAGGAGGGAACTATATTCAACTAATGCATTTATTTGCTTGGCTTCATGCAGCTAAACAATCTTGAAACTTTTACTTAGATGTAATCTGTGCTAGAGAGTACTCCTGCTGTAGTTAGTATTTTGTCTTACTTGCTTACATTTTTGGTAACTGGATCCTGTGATTTTCATAGAATCATAGAATAGAATCATAGAATAGTTTGGGCTGGAAGGGACCTTTAAAGGTCATCTAGTCCAACCCCCCTGCCGTGGGCAGAGACATCTTCAACTAGATCAGGTTGCTCAGAGCCCTGTCCAACCTGGCCTTGAATGTTTTCACGTTGTGCAAGTTAGATACTAAGTTGGAGGAATAAAACTTTGGGGGAAAAAAAAAAAAATTTTTTTTTTTAAATTACCTCTGAGCAAATCTCAAAGATTAAATGCAAACGTGTCAGGTAGATCTGGGCTAACACAAATTTATCTATGCAAAGGTAACTCTTAATCAGTTAAAATACTGCCACCACCACAGCACTGAGACCTGAAATCAGCCTTTCTGACTGTGGGAATTTAAACTGATTTTGGAGGCATGGTCGCTAAAGTCACTTCATATAAGCAGTGGAGGGAGACAGGTACATTTCAGATCTTAAGGGGACTGACTCATGCTCTGTGAATGTTTTTCTCTCTTCCTTTGGCTACCTAAACATAAGTGAACTAAATCCAGTCCCAAGTTCTGTTTTTCCCCATCTTTTTTGGCAGAAAATACGTAAATCTACTGGTAAGTTGTTTGAACAGTTTGAGAAAAACTATTACATTTGTTTTTCCTGAGGAAGACATTCCTTGTTTTAATTCTGTAATATCTGAGTGAACAGTCATTCAAGAGCAGACTTTTTTAAAATCTATATAAAAAACTGGTATCTCATTTGACATGTAGATTGTAATGATATGATTTTCAGAAGCACTGAGCACTTAAAGGTAGGTTGTCTTTGTTGAATGAAGTCTGTAATTCTTGCCTTTCTTTGTAACTTTTTTCATTTTCTGTGTGTTTTCTGGCATGAACTGTGGAATAGATATTTGGAATATACAATTTTACAAACCTCTTAACTCCTAAATTGTGCTTATATCAGTACATTGTAAGATGGGATATGTGCATTTTAGAGTGCTCTATCTAACTAAAATCGTTATCGTTGATTAAAACGGTTGCTTCTCCCCCAGGAAAATCAAAATGGCAAGCTGGTGGAAAAACAAAGAGGGTGACTCAAGGAACACACAAGACTGCAAAACAGGTATCTGCTCTTTTTTTACTTTTGGTTATGACGTAAAATTTACAACATAAAAATGTTTTGTGATATCACTGATAAATTATTGGCTGAATAATACATATATAAAACTGTGCACACATTGTATTTTTAAAGCATGCAAGTTTCAAAGTCAAGTATTCAGAAGTTAAAAAAATGCCAGAATGTAGGTTATCTTCCTCAGCCTTTACTTTTGTCATTTCCGAACCTCTGGACGCATGACTTTTTGGCATTAAAGTTGTTTTAAGGGAAGGTGCTGTTCAAAAATAAAACCATACAGGTTATTCTTCCTATAAGCATGCTACTTATACAAAGGCTACCTTTCTGCCCAGTTTCTAATTTAAGGAAATGCTTTATTTCCTGACCTCATGTATTAATGGCTAAAGAATTTTGGTTTAAAATTTCAACGTATTTTATTTTGGAAAAATTAGTCCAGGTGAGTAAAATTTCTGAGAGTTACGACTGGAAAGCAAGTCCGAATGAGAAGTGTCAAGAAGAAACTGCTCTTATTTTTATGCATGTTTTCTCTATGTGAGTGACAATCTTTATTACATTAATAAAGTAATACCTCAATCTTTCCTCACGTTTAATATTTAATGTTTTTAATGGTTGCTTTTCTTTGATTAATGGATTTAGCTATTAATATGGCTTTAGCCATTTAGTATTTTGAGACAGTCTGTCAGATTTTGATAATATGGCATATGGAAGATGTTATTTTTTTGGAAAAAAGACTGCTTCCATAGAGAGGTACTTGCATATTTAAAACATAGGCATGTTATTTTCCTAATTTGGTTTAGCAGCTATTAAGCTTGTGTTCTCTCTTCACGTACTAGTATGTCACGAACACTGTGTATCCTGGTTTTCTTGTTCTGTGAAGGTGGAGTTTTATTGATGTAGTTGGGGCTCCCTGTAAGGGTTTACCCTCAGAACTTTTTGGGTAAGAGTAATGTGCTAAATAGTTTGGGTTCTGTCTATTTTAGTCACTTGGAATTATGTAAACAGTGGGTTTTCAGAAGAATACTTGATTGTTATTCAGTGGCTCTGTGTGGGATGGCTATACTAAAACTATATTGTAGAAACATAGTGCATTCCTAGTGGGTACAAGTAAGGTTTGAAATGGACTGCTGAATGTCTGTGCATCTTGGCACTTCAGTTTGGCATTCAGCACCTTTATTTCTACTGCATTTCAGACACTGGATACTGCTGTAAATTGGTGGCTTTTTTGTTACTTTTGTTGAGCCTTCAGTTTTAATTTTCCTTTACATATAAATGGGCCACTAATCTCAAGAAAATAAACTTACAAGAACTCTTTTCATATGATCTTATCAACCTCGTCTTCCTCTCAGTAGGGTGCTGGCAAATCTGCATTCAATAAATTTTGGCATCCTGAAAATAAATACACACTTCATACTTTCCAGAACTCCAAGGCAAGTTACTGAAACTATTTGGGGGACAAAAAAAAGAGATTCAGTTTTAACGTCATTTTCATCATCCACGCTGAGTTACTTGAGATGTAAGGAGGAGTATTGCCATGTTTCTTAACTTCAAAGGCACAAAAACTTTACCTTTTCTGCAGTTGAAGATTTGAACTATCACTACAAGTGAGGTAAATGAAGTAGCCCCTCTGAATCTTTGCCATTCTTGTGTTGGTTTTGTTGTTCTAGTGAGGACAAGCTTCAGTGTAGGCCTGCTAGATCATGTCTATATAAGCCATCAGCACATTTTGGGTAAACATGCATATTATTTGAGGGTCAGGGAGAGGCCAAGGCAAGCTATTTTTTGGTGTGTTTGTAAACCCTGTGATTGATTTTTTTTGTAATGTCCAACGGTCTGCAAAGTTGTTGAACATGGATTAAATTTTGGATAAGTGTATTGTCAAAGGCTAGTAGATCTGAGATCACTTAGAAGATTCAAAAATAAGTACTTATATCCAGTTAAGAATGATGTGTAGAAGTTTGCAGGATTGGAGATTTAGAACTCTGCTCAGAAAAAACTTAATCGTATATGCTTGTGTCTTGTCAGTGGAAAGAGGCCTATGCCTCAACTACTAACCAAAGTGAAAAATCTGCTAAGAGTTAGTTGGAAGCACTAGGCACAAGGATGTAGTTGAAGTTTTTGTGGCTTGGGTATAGCTCCATATTGGTGAAGATGTAGGATCGTTGCCTTATCTTTCTTCAGACTACACTGTTAGAAATGTTTTGTCCTGTGCCCATATGTCCTGTTCCCTCTGAATACCCTCCCTCTGAGAGATCGAGAGATGATAATCTCTGGAAATTTAGTTTCACTGTTGTGTCACTCTCAACCTGAGCACGACACTAAAAAATATGATCTGGTCAAAAGTACATCCTTCTAATAAATACTGTTTAATTAACACTTAATTCCAGGAAGGTTGAATAAGAAAGCTATAGCTGTACATCAGCACAGAAACTACAGTCTTGAAAAGTCTGTACCTAATCCAGCATTTCTTGTTTTTCACAGTGAAAGGTTAGTTTGATTCATTAGAAAATTTACTTAAGAAGCTTACAGGTAAAGACTCTGCTGAAGAATATACAGATTAACTCAGAAATCCTGGTAATTTTTTGGTGCTTGTGTTAAACATTTTTACAGAATACAGCAGTCTGTATAAAATATTAGTAGTATCTTTATATTAAAAGTAGTCTTTGCTGCAACTATTAACTGTAAGTGAGTACTGGCTTTCATTTCAGTAAAGTTGATGCCAGTCAAACTTGATTAAGTTTGAAAATAGCTTGCTGAGTTTGATGTTTTTTCATGGAATTTCTGAGGACTGAAGTGCCAGGCATGGGACACGATTTGGGTTCTTCTCTGAAAATTGACTTCTGTTTCCTTGAGGGCAGATACCAGGCTGTGACATATTCAAATGTACAGTGTCAGAGCTGACTTGTATCAGGAACTTAAAATATATTTCTATTAACTAACAGCCAACTTAATGCTTACCTGCTTGTGTGATTGTGTTTACAAGAAATTCGGTAGCTTAGGGATTTGCACGCTTTCAAAGGTGTTCTACTGGAATATGAGTAACTGTAAATGTTGCTTAGGTTTTACTTAGACACTGGAAATCTGCTTACAGGGGTAATAATGGAACTGCTACAACTTACTATAGTTAATATAGTTCAACATGCTGTTTTCCTAAGTAAAATATGGCTGACATAAGAAAGATGATAAATGGATGCCAAATATAGTAGATGAATAACATTTATTGCTAAATATCAAAACATATTCCATGACGCTGCCTTAAAGATACATTTGAAAATGTATCTTTCAAATAGTGGAAGTTATGCATGGTTCCCGTTCCAAAACAACTGATCCTTTGTATCAACAATATTAGCTGAATGAGTAGAAACCTAATCGCTTTACCAAGGTCGCATTTTATATGTACAGGCAGCAAAAGGTAACACTGTTATTTATGATTCTGTAGTTAAGGTTGTATCATTATAAACTGTATTTTAAAGGAGCTGTAAATTAGCCAGTATGAGCTTTCCTTTAAAGGTTTATATACAAGGCCTCAGCTAAGGAGCATCTTTTCTCCAAGCTATTCTTTAAGAGGTGACTTTTATGTCATAGAAGAAAAAATATGAAATACTCTGACATATGAAACCCTTCTGAAATTCTTGTTCGTTGGTTGTTTGACATGCATCTTTTCTGAACTCGTGCATACATTAGCTGGGGTTCATCTGGAGTACACTTAGAGCTCTTGGAGATATATGTAAGGGTAGCAGAGATGTTAGTATGACTGTAGTAAATCAGGTTCCTATTCTTCCCCTTTTTACGGAAAAATTAGAATCTGAAGACAAACACAGGTGAGAGCATAACCATTTTGATAGCCCTGTGTCTACCTCCCTAACTACAAAGCGGAATTTGCTGTGTTTAATGCTGTGTGGTACAGGTAGTCAGAACACTGGGGGGAATAAGCAGACTGGCACCCAGAGAGAGAGGCTACAGAAGAAAGAGAGCGCTGGAATTTACTAGGTAGTTTGGCAGTTCTGTCTTCGTGTCAGGGTTCAGTTTTCTTGTAATGGGAAGCTGTGTTTATGCTGTGAATTTATCAGACAAGGCCCCTAAAATCTGGAGAAGAAAGGTATTTATATTCTTAAATACAGTGATTGAAGAATCGTCGTGATTCCTGTCTGTGCCAGCATTTGTGAAGACAGTTGGATGTTCTCCCTCTGCTCCCATCAGATTTAGCATATTGGCAGTTCTCTGCATCTGTGCAGCAAAGCAGTACTAGATCAATTAGCCCGCATATTAACACTAAAAATCAAACAACAGATTTGTCGTAGTTAAAGCTGTTAAATTACAACTCAAAACAGCATGAGGATGCTTTCAGAGTTGGTGTAAGTAGGAGCAACTTGATTCATTGGCACAGCACTTACATTGGGTTGAATTGAGCTTGCAATGTTAACAATATGGTGAGTGGAAATCTTAGTACAAGTAGTCTTCTAAGTTGTGAAAGCTTCCTTTTGTAACTAATTCAGTGCTTGCTGGCATCTCCTCTGCAGTGTAGCCATAACATATCGATCAAAGGGCTAGCCACATCAGCATTTCACTGACATTAATGCTCATATATTAGAATGAGGGTTTAAAAACAATAGTCGTATGTAATGTCTTGGTAATAGAATTTAACTGCAATGGAATATTGCTGGTGTGATTATTAGTAAAATGTTGTTTTCATCTCTGGATACACATACTTGTCAGAATAAGTAATACAGGATATGTAATTAGAAAATGTAGCTTTCCAATGTGCTAAGAGACAGAATATCTTGTACTGTTGTACAATATGAATGTTGGTTTATAAAGGTCAAAGGAACAGAATCTAGTTCTACATAGCTGCTGAATATATTTAAGGTAAGAAAGTGTGTTTTTAAAAAACTCAAGTCAGTGGGGTGATGTAGTCTTCTTCAGTGAAAAATTTCTTGTTTACAAATGTTTGAGTATGTTGAAAAAATGTGTGTGGCACAGAAGCCCTTACCCCTTACCATACTTCTGTTTGTTGTTTTCTTTTTCCATTGTATCTTGTTTTTTCAGAGCACTAACCTAGACTGTAAATTAACATCAGCAGCAGCTGGAGATAAAAACTTTGACAAAAGCCCAACAAAAACAAGACAGCCTCGAAAAGTTGATCTGCGAGCTCGATACTGGGCATTTCTTTTTGACAATCTCAGACGGGCAGTTGATGAAATCTATGTTACCTGTGAATCGGATCAGAGTGTAGTAGAATGCAAGGTAAGTCTTCAGCTGTTTTTTGCCTGTTATCACATGGCTCTTAACGTGGTTTTTTTATACTGTACAAAAAAGCCAAAAGAGTAATCAGAGCTTCAGAAACATGTTACTTTTTGATTTGTATTTAGTGAAGGCTTGTAAATAGGAAAACTGATGGCATATGTATTCAGATTTAAGAAGATGCTTTCATCTTAGACAGTGACTAATTTTTGAAGTGTATAAAACTTGTAGCGATGTACATAATGTTATTAGATCTCAGTTTTTTGATGAAATCAGTTTTTGCTTATTGAGTTCTGATTTTGCTGGATTTCCTGACTGAACACTGATTTTCCCCCCGTCCCGTAATGTTCTTTACTGTAGGTGGCACTGTTGTGATTCAGCCTTTTTCACATTTGTTTCCTGTTAAGTGGCATAATTATACATTGCTTCCTTTTTGCAGTGGTAGTTATCACTCTTGTAATTCTCTCTGGGGTGTTAAGAAAGTGATTGGTGGTCAAGCGTAAACAATGTCTGGTGGGGATGTCACTGAAAGGTGCACTTCCTAAATGAATAACCTGTGTTTGTAATAGCTTGTGCATCTGTTTAAGTTTTTTGATGATTTTCTAATAGGTCCATGGAAAGACCCTTATCATTTAATAAAAATCACTCATTCTTTAGAAATGAATTTATTGCAAGCATTAAGAGAAGCCAGAAGAATACATTATAAAAGAAATGTTAAAGATACGACTTCTGTTTTCATATTAAACATGGCTGAAAACTCAACACATTCTGGAAATGATTATCTAATCACCGTAAAAAAATTACATCTATCAATTTAAGTATACTTTTTTTTCTTATCATATGCATCTAGTTCTCTGTAATCAGACACGGCCAAATTGACTTTGAGATTAGCGTACAAATACATTTCATTGAAAGCAGGTTTGAAAACTGAACAGTAGCTAGAGGCTTCCAAATCGCTGGTTGGTCTAACACAATTTAACATTTTGTTACTGAACTGTCTTCCTGCTCAGGAAACTTCTCTGGAGAATTTTTTGGTTTAAGAAAATCAGTCAGCCTTGCATTGTAATTAGATTACCATTTTAAACTTTTGTGACTGTGACTGAAAGAACAGAAGCGTATTTGTATCATTATCACATATTTTTGGGGTTAGATATCATTCAGCATTTTAATCACGCTACTTGATCTGTTCTTGGATGGAGATACTACATAGCCTAAGTGAAAAGTCTTCATTTTAGTAGATGCTTGACAATGATGTATGTATCTGTGTGTATCAGATAACTTGTTTGCAAAACAGGATTGGAAAAAACCAAAAGTGTGTAAACAAGGGAGTCCAATGCCATTTATTGTAAAACTTATGTAACATTCATGTGGCATTTACCTTTTAAAAGGTCTTTTCTTCTCAGCACAAAAAAGTGCCTTACCTGAGTAGCAGGAATATACGTTTGTGCTATGGTATTTTGTTTGTGAAATTTTCTTTTCAAGGTTACTGTTAAATGATGATTATTACTCTTTTGATAAATTACTAAAATTCCTGTTAAATAAGCTATGAAGTATAGAACTGTTGAGTCTTGCAAATTATTTTTACTAATAAGGTTTCACTTTTATCAATTCTATTGATTGTCATTATTTATTTTGGGTTGTTGTTGACAGATACAGTCCAGTTTCTACCAGAGGTGAAGCTGTCAATGTGTTCTAGCTAACCACGTACCGCAGAATATCTTAACTGCTGTCTTTTGAAGCGAGTGCTTCACATAACGCGTAATAGATAGGCATGTAACATTTTTGGTACTACATACATAGGCTTCAATTAGGGAGTGATCAAACTCATCAATAAGCGGAGGTATGTTTTAATTTTGGATGGAATATTAGTGATAACAAACAACAGATCCTTGTGGAAACCGCGACTCCTCCTCACCTCTGATCCTGAAAAGCTAGTGCTTGCTGTCCTCCATCAACTGAAATACCTTGTATAAGTGCAGCTTTCATATTATGGAATATATAGAAAGTGTTTACTGTAGTACCTCAACCTTTTAGGAGTTCATATATTAAAATCATGATCTAGACTCAAGAGTTCAGTTGGCAAATGATATTTGAAGAACACTCGTGACATTGTTTAAAGAATTCATGTAGCTTAGTAGAAGGCCTATGTACTGCCTTAAAAATATCTTAACTCAGTCTTTAGTTTGATCATTACAATTTGCCTCATTACAATGTGACTCAGTTCAGGTAAATAGTCATCATCTGAGTATCTAAAACACTTGTTTTATTGCCTTGGCTTTGGTAGTCCTATATATGTTGTTATCATGTTACCCCCAAGCACCAAGTTTCATACTTTGTAGTGACTGTTCTGATCCTGCCTGATCAGATCTTGCAAGATCTCTGGTCGTGCCTTTTCTTGCTACCTGAAAACATTAAAGCAATGAACAGAATCTAGATTCTCTGGTTTTTATCAGCTTTGGTGTCCACTCTTGCAGGAAAGATGGCTGTAGCAAGGTTCTGCGTGTTATTCCAGGGACGGCTCCAACCACTTGAATGTGCAGAATTGGGAGGAGGCAAAGCGATTTTATGCCTCTGAATGAGGCATATGTGAATAATGGCATAATAATGAGGCATAATATGAATTCTGTGTGGTCTAACGAGGTATCTCCCTAACTCTGCTATCGTCGGTAGAATACCGATAATGCAGATGTGGCATGGCAAAATATGTTAAGCTTCATTGGCAGGAAAATAATGTCTATAATGTGTGTAATCCTTTTCTTAGGCTTTTGGACGGATGAGGCCAGGTTTAATGCAGTCATACCATGTGTCTTGTCTGTCCTTGTATATCCATGATTTTCTGTCATCCCTGCCATAACTTCTAATATCAGTGGACCAATTTAAATTAATTTAGTCATTATAGATTTCATGAGAGTAGGTGACTAGCTTGGAAGAAGACATCCTGTTAAGGTTCACATTGCAGAAAAAACTGCCACTCAGTGTTTATTAGACACCAGGGAATTCAGAGGGAGAACAAGAGAACATGAATGCATCAACTGAGGGAAGAGGGATTGTGTGTGGTTGGTTTTTGTTTTGTTGGGGTGTTTTTTTTTTTTTTTTAAATAAGAATTAATTGAAGTGCATGTCATTATGTCATTTTAGGCACCAGAGAGACCAGTAAGGAGATAATGGGAAAACAGGCTCCACTAGATCCACAGTTTGCAGAACCACTTAAGCTTTTTTTGCTTGGTGGTGTATTGGGGGAGTGGGGGGGGTTGTCTGTTTGTTGGTCTGTATTTTTCTTTCTCTTTGGGCAGGAGGAGTTCAGCTAATTCTTACGCTTTTTCCATTTTTATGTATGGCAGTACTGGTCTTCTGAATATTTTAATTTTAAGATGAAAATTCCATTTATAATAAACTTTTACTAAAGCTCATTCTAATAATGAGAATGGATTAGCTTAATTTTTATGCTGTTTTTTGGAAACTTCTTATACTACATAGAAAAGTATCTAGTGGTTAAAATATTACACGAGATACCAACAGACACATCAGCTCAGCTGAAAATGGATTAATGTATTTCTGCCATGCCTAAAGAATCAAGATGATTTTGATAAATGAGAATTTCCTATTGACACCTTTTCCTGTTTACTTTCCAAACTCATTTGACAGAATATCTTGTCAACTCTCTTCATGAAGTACCATTTTTATTTTTACTACTAGACATATGTGGGAAACAATATTACATAAGGAACCAAAATGGTTAAACTATTAATCTTTCCTTCTTTGTTTTTTTAAGTAGGATTTTGAAAAATCCTTTTTATGAAGATAAATTCATGTTATCAAAAACTTCCTTAATTTCAAGTTTTTAAGTGATACCTCATCAAACTTGTGTCTTGGTCAAATGGGTATGTGCTGTTCTATTTAAACATTCTAGTTGTATAAAGATTGTCTTAAAAGAAGACCCATGTAAAAATGAAATGTGACAACTTCTGGCATTTAAAACCTTCAGAGTAACCCGGTATAAAAGTGTTTATTTTTTATTTGGTACCTTTTGCTCTCTTGTAGTCTTACAAGTTGGTATAGTTTTATTGATTACGTTGTCACTGAAGATAATGTTTGATGCTCCCAAATCGGAAAGGGCTCTAGTGGCTGGTTGTGGTTGAAACTGCAGACGGAAGGGCTGTGGTAAGGCACAAACAGTGGAAATGTGTGTAAGAGGATCAGTGGTTGTGTATATTTTCTCTCAGCTTTCGGCACTGCTGAAGTTGGTATTTTGCTATTGATTTGGAATTGAGAATTCTCAAATCATGTATATAGGTACATAGATATGGCTTTGATGCTTCATATATAAAGATATAATGAACATGGTTGAATTATTTCTAAAATAAATAAAGGGTTCTCAAGTTTAAGCATCATCTTACTGTACATAAATCAGTTTGTGCAATAGTGATAGAGATTAGATATATTCTAATAGATTTGGCTATAACCTTCAACATTTCAAAATGCAAATTTTATGTTCTATACATTAGCTGGGTTTCTCTGTGTCTAATGTTAATATGAATGTTTTACTACCTAGTATTTTCTAGGTTTGGATGACAAGCTTAGGTAGAAAAGAATTAGTAATGCCTTTAAATCTCTTTCTGTATGCTAAAAGGTATTAAACCCGAAATTATTTGTGGATGGAGGAAGGCAGATTTTGTAGTCAATTTTGGACAAGGGAATTTTGGTTAATGCAACAGAGAAATGCGTCCTCCGCTGCTATTCTTTTATGGTCTTCAGGTGTCACAGCAACTGAGTTTTTATAGATATCTGTATACACACACACACACACACACACACATATATAAAAATAAATAAAACCCCCACATCACACCCGTATATAAAACTCTTATTGATAGGGTTTGAGCAACTGGATCCAGCAGCTAAGGATACAGTAAGTCTTCAAGAATCTCAAAGTACTTTAAATTTAATCATTGGAATTTTTTCCTCCTAGGATGAATTAATGGCTTCAGCTGTTTTTTTCCTTT